AACAAATTAACAACGTATACATCCTTAATATGGACGCTGAATTATAGTCTGTTAATTTATTTATTTTTGATTGACATTGCTGAGGATTGCAAAATAATATATTATGTAAAAACATCTGGTTATTGATATACCTACAATGAGCTATATGAATAGTGTCGTTTTATATAGGGTCCCGACGGAAGAATGTAGGAATTGGATTATTGAAAACTGTCATCGAGGAGGCAAAAGAGTGGTAGGTTTTCGACCGGAATTTTACAAAAATTGGTATGGTACAGAGCGAGAAAATGATGGAAGACCTACGACTGCAGAGAACAATATATTTTTCGGAGAAATCATCCACTACGACCAATCTGTTATGACCGAAATCAAATCAGCTCCTTGGTTGGTCTTACCTATAAAAAACACACGGATACGGTAAGCAAAATTAGTCAAATAAAAATAAAATTAATAAGAAAAAATTAATAAAAAATAAAAAATGAAAATAAAARAAAGTAAYCSTATTTTTCTAACAGTCATCCGATATTAGAATAATTGTCAACAATAAAAATATAAACTACAAAACTTTTTAATAAAGTTACCTATTTGAATACGATTTATATTATTATTTTTTCTTTTTCCTTTTTACAATTATTTTGTTTTATTTCCAAACGGCATACCTACATAATATTGAATAACATGTTAAAATTTAAGACAATAGTATATAATTGGACGAGTGAGTAATTAAATAAAAGTTAGTTTAAAACACAATGTATTAATTTGGCAAAAACAAAAAAATATTTTTAATTATTCAATGTCAGTATTGATAGAATAACTGTGTTTAAAATTAATTTTTGATATAGCCTATAGGTGATAAAGAAATATAAAATGATATGTATATGTATTATTATACTTATGTTATGCCTTTTCATATATTTCATTTGATCGAATAATTAAATAATTAGTAAMTATTATCATAAAAAATAGAAATATGATACGATTGTTTAATTTTATCTATTATAAATCATGTAATAAATTTAAAAAAGGACTTGACAACTTACTCATTCATTCCTGATTTCCATATTCTGTCTAAAGACCGATAGCTCTGTGATTTTTAAATTATTTAAATTAGTATTTTCGAATTGTTCTGAATAACTCCTCCTGGTCATGATGACATGTTTGAATAACCGAGTGATATTTTTTGTGTGATCGACCACATAGCTAGGGTTAATTAATAGAAACTCAAGTGATGGCATACATTGCATCGTTGCTTTTTTGGATRTTAAAAACAAACATAGGTAACGATATGTAACATTTAATTTAAATTATATAGATATATATTCTATTTAACTATGAAAAGTGTAAAATAAAACTGGTGAGTAGTACTGCAATATTATATTATATATAGTTTGCTCCTTTTTGGTAATAAATGTAATAGGAAATACCGAAAATTCCTCTGGCGTCGCAATTATTAATATCGTGTGCCAGCTAATACCAGAATTAACGGAATTATTTTTCAATATCTATTGCAAAGGGTTAGCTGTCTAGAAAATTAATAAAAAGCACTAAAAATAAATAACTCTGAAAACAAATATATTTTATACATCAAAATATAATACATGTATGATCTTCCTTACAAAATATTTTGCATGTATTAATAATTAAACAATATCAAATAAATCATATTAATATAAATATATAATAGGTAAATATTTTCAATAAAAAAAAATGCGTAGGATACCAGAAATTGTATCATAATAAAAATATAAAAATTATATAAAATCCACTACCTAATTATATTGTCCTTGTCCGTGTTTCGTGATGTTTGAAAATATATTTTT